ATTCGGGCATTTGCTCGGCGTTCGGCCTCAGTTTGTGATTGCCTTGAGCGATCCACTTCGAGGCGAAGACGTGTTGTCAAGGTCTCCAAATCATTGATCCGTTGGCGATCTGAAGATTGAGTCGAAGCAGCAGCTGCCATAGCCGCAGCAGCCGCCTTCTCGGCGGCACTGACGGCGGCCTCAGTTGCTACTGCCTTTTCAGCTGAAGCGGCTGCTGCAGCAACCGCAGCTTCGACAGTCGCGTTGCGGGCGTTCACAGCAGAGCGGGGTAACGAATGCTAAGGGATAGTTAGAATAAATAGTGATAATTTTTACCTACAAAAGTTTCGTCCAATAAAAATGTATAGATTCACATAAATAAATACATTTGGAGGCATAAAGATTGCGTCTTTCATCTCTTATTATGATAATTTCATAATAAACTAACTCTGATATATCTTTAGATTTATTATTCGCACATTATAAATCATTAAATCATACTGTTCACTAGTCCGTAATGAATATATTATTGATGACCTTAATTATTCATAAATTTAAGATTGGATAAAGCATTGATGCGTTATGCTTTTTAAAAACATTAGAAAGCTGCACAGAAATAGAATTAATGACGGTTTCACTCAAACTACATTCTTATAGATACAACATAATCCAAGCGAAAGCATGTGAAATATCACATTTCTAAATTAAGGATGAAATTTAGAAAAATTGACTTCAACTACTCGAGTACATTATTACGAAATGATGAGACCAAAGGGTATTAGGCATGAGGTGGTTATTTTTGAGAATTATTCTTCAAGAGTGAAGGAGCCTGGAGAGCAAGTACAGGTACGAATATATTAGCAGAAAGAAGTGATTGGTTAAGTGGAATAGATTCGAGTCGCTTAAATACGCTAAACCGATGTAATGGGGAAGTGTTCTGGACAAAATCGCTAGAGTTCAATTATCTCTGTTGCTACGAGATATCACAAACTTTAGCCCCTCTCGAATAAGAGTTCTAATCTCGAGACTTACTTGCTAAAAATATTTTGCTTCCCTTTCTGATATCTTTTTAACATGACACTAATGGCATCATCTGATTTAATAAACTTTGTCTTATGAATAGTATTAAAATATTCAGAACATTGGGAATCTGGGGATCACAATTAAATCTTGGATGATATGATACTAGCGACTAGTGTGGTGACAAGCCTCATATATTCTTAGAAGTGAGTTGACCTCATTGTCGCAACTTGGTCTTGCCTGGGGGGCTTAGTAGAACGCATCTAGTCCAAAGTTCTCTGCCATAGTAGTTACCATAATTCCCAGCATCAGACAGTGGACTTGGTGCATTCTTAAACGTTTCGCCGGCATTGTAGTCGGCATCATCAGTTAGTGCTGCCATTCTCCGCACCAAGCTACGAACTCGTCATAGACAAGTGAAGTCAATCCTTCTTGTTGTTTTATTATCTAATTAATCTATGCATATAATTAAAAAAACTCACATCTATAAGAATATGATAACTATTTATATTCTATTTATAAAAGCATACAGACTTAATATACCTGGCCAAGGTTTCCATGAGCGCTTGAGTCTCCAGTCGCTCCATTCACCAAATGAGGGCCCATTATATTTGCGCTCATTGAATAGACTCTGAATCGTGCTTCCGCCTCGCGAAGACGATTTTCAACATCCGCTAGTCGTGACTGGGTTTTCTCTTTAGCCTCTTCTGATGCCTGTGCTTCGAAAGAAACTCATGCGTGAATTTAGATTTATTAGGGACATGATTAAAATAGCTAAATATAAAAATAATCGTTGCGCTGCCAAGAGTATTCCAATAAAAATTGTCCATCGTTCTCTAATTTTAAGCTTATATATATGTTTGGGGATTTCATCTTGTTATAAAAATTGAAGCTAAGATATATATACAGAGATCTAACTTA